ACTTTTGAAGGGCCCTTTTCTAGGATAAGTTCTTCTTTGGATTCCTTCTTGTACCTTTCCCCCATACAACAACGCGGACCGGTTCAGAAATCAAGTTCTTCCGCGGCCGTTGCCTTGAACCAGATAAATTAAAAAAGCGCACTCAAGTAAAGGATTTACTGGTGTTCGAACAAAGTATCGCTCTGAATGTATTTGACATAGTGTCTTATCATCTCATAACATGGTATTTTTTAAAATATTACTTTCTTAGTGCTTATATCTGCTTTGGTATTTTGAGCCAATGTCCGCTGATCAGTACGTACCGGCTCCCCTACCACGATGGGAACGCTTGCTTTGTTGGGCTGTTTGGCTCTTTCACTCAGCCGCAGCTTTCTATTTGGCGTTCAGAGTAAGTCAAGGGCAACTACGCTTCTGGATGAAGCATTGGATCTCAGAAAGCGGGTATGTAGCCATGATATTTCCTAGTAAAAGCACAAATCAGCAATTCTAGTTACTTACCTGGATACAAAGTTGACCTCTCGGATACTGAATGGGAACATTTTCGTAACACCGCTTCACATATGGTGCTAGACTACGGCCTTCACAGTATCATGTAAGTTCCTTCACATAGACTTTGAACTGTGAAACCGGATCTTTACCTATACTCCGACGTCAGCGGAGATAAGATGACGCGATCAATACAAAAATAACCAAATGTAGATTCTCAAAACTGTCATTACATAAGTCTGCTACAGAAATGGTCGACTAAATTCTGTAGGGCGAGTTTGCAATATTTTGAATCTTGAAACTTATAGGGATGTTTCTAAGACAAAGAGTTGAAGAGTTCGCGCATTTCATCCGGCGACGGTTTTTTAGCAATCACCTATGCTCTCTTCGTGGCCCATAATTCCTGATGCAAGTAGCTCATCTATAATCTCTTTCATACTGCATATATTTCTCAAATTAGAACCAAGTTGGCGGAGAAGTTTCTCACCGCCATTAAATTTTTTTCTATCTCGTTTTTTCCCAGTATTTCACAAAAAAAACGAAGATGTGAACCATTTTTACCGGAGACATCTAACATGCCCTGCAATAGCTGCGGGAATCGTTCGTTCAGAAGTCGTCCTTCAATGCTCTTTGTTTTCTCGTTTATCAATTCTGTTACCGTTTGTGTCATTGTAGAGCCAATGCATTGTAAGAGATAGTCGAAGGGGTTATAACATTATCATAAATTTGTCCTGCCGCTTGCGTTCCTATACTTCCTGCATTCATAGAGCAGGAGCAGTCAAACTTAATTGAAGTCAAAGACAAATTTTCCCGCCATGATCATGACGAAATTCTAGGATAAATAACAATATATAGCAAAGCAATAAAAGACTAGCACTTCTGATCTTCAACAAAAAATAGATCATCACTGTTAAGTAAGAACGGAAGCCAGATAGCTTGAATTGTCAGCAAAAATTCCTTCGACATCCAATAACATCTTGCTAATTTTAAAAATAAAGTTTTTAGGTTTTATCTGGTAGTCCGCTATGTGGAATCGAAATGGGTCAAATTAGTACTGTTTTTTGGAGCTCTTCTTATGCAAATACATATGACAAGGTGACTAAAC